CAATGGCGTATGCGATTCTGCATCATCCATTCTGCTATAAACTCACTGGTTCTATTTTTTCTATGGACAATCAAAATTTTAGGATATCGAAATTTTCACGAATTTCTGTAAAAATGTTCAGAAGTGTGCAATTAACAAATAAATGCATTTAATGTCGTTCTGACAATGGCGTATGCGATTCTGCATCATCCATTCTGCTATAAACTCATTGGATCTATTTTTTTCTATGGGCAGTCAAAATTTTGGGATATCAAATTTTCACGAATTTCTATAAAAATGTTCAAAAGTGTGCAATTAACATATAAATGCATTTATTGTCGTTCTGACAATGGCGTATGCGATTCTGCATCATCCATTCTGCTATAAACTCATTGGTTCTATTTTTTTCTATGGGCAGTCAAAATTTTGGGATATCGACATTTTCACGAATTTCTGTAAAAATGTTCAGAAGTGTGCAATTAACAAATAAATGCATTTAATGTCGTTCTGACAATGGCGTATGCGATTCTGCATCATCCATTCTGCTATAAACTCATTGGTTCTATTTTTTCTATGGACAGTCAAAATTTTAGGATATCGACATTTTCACGAATTTCTGAAAAATGTTCAGAAGTGTGCAATTAACAAATAAATGCATTTAATGTCGTTCTGACAATGGCGTATGCGATTCTGCATCATCCATTCTGCTATAAACTCATTGGTTCTATTTTTTTTCTATGGGCAGTCAAAATTTTGGGATATCGACATTTTCACGAATTTCTGTAAAAATGTTTAGAAGTGTGCAATTAACAAATAAATGCATTTAATGTCGTTCTGACAATGGCGTATGCGATTCTGCATCATCCATTCTGCTATAAACTCATTGGTTCTATTTTTTTCTATGGGCAGTCAAAATTTTGGGATATCAAATTTTCACGAATTTCTGTAAAAATGTTCAAAAGTGTGCAATTAACATATAAATGCATTTATTGTCGTTCTGACAATGGCGTATGCGATTCTGCATCATCCATTCTGCTATAAACTCATTGGTTCTATTTTTTTCTATGGGCAGTCAAAATTTTGGGATATCAAATTTTCACGAATTTCTGTAAAAATGTTCAGGAGGGTGCAATTAACAAATAAATGCGTTTAATGTCGTTCTGACAATGGCGTATGCGATTCTGCATCATCCATTCTACTATAAACTCATTGGTTCTATTTTTTTTTCTATGGGCAGTCATTATTTATAGGCATTTCCCAAGCATTTGACAGAGTCTGGCATCTTGGAATTCTATACAAAATTTGTGAAACTCTACCTAAAAACACTCATAAACTATTTTGTAGTTATTTGTCAAATCGTACGTTTGTTGTTAAATCGGAAGACATACTTTCAAATTCGAGAAAAATATTGGCTGGCGTTCCACAGGGTAGTATCTTAGGACCAATTCTGTACGTGTTATTTACTGCCGATATGCCCACAACCAATGAAACTCTAACCTCTACGTTTGCTGATGATACTGCTTTCATGAGCATACACAAGAAAATTGGCTGACAAAATGGAGAATATCGGTAAATGCAAGCAAGTGCATACACGTTACTTTTGCTCTAAGACGTGAACTTTGCCCCACGATAAAAATCTTTAATACTCAAGTTCTACTGAAAGATACCATAAAATGTCTCGGAATGCACCTGGGCCGAAGACTTACATCGAAGCAACACATCGATGCAAAAATCACGCAAATTAAACTAAAAAAGGCCAATCTTGAGTTGTTAATTGGTATACGTTCTTCTATTAAATTAGAATACAAAGTCCTATTATATAAGACTGTAATAAAGCCAATTTGGACGTATGTCATACAGCTCTGGGGCACAGCTAGTTCCTCTAACGTAAGTAAACTACAAAGAAGACAGTCGAATATTCTTCGTTCTATTACAGGTGCACCATGGTAACGTGAACGCAAACATCCACAAGGACCTAAATACACTTACTGTTGAAGAAGAAATAAAGAAGCTTTGCCGAAAGTACTTAAACAAACTATCCGAGCACCCAAATAGCTTGGCCCGCCAACTCCTACTATTCGGAGGACACGATAGACTGCGCAGACGTGACACTCTTTCTATCATATAGTTTATTTTTTTGTCTTACTCTCTCATTATTTTCAGCTCTTGTCTGGCCAATTGAACGTCGCCCACTGTTATACTTCTACAGGTAGTAGTATGCTAAATTGGAAGCTGCTTCTGTGAAGAAATCGAAAAGACTATTACTGTAGTCCGCGGGAAGATTAGTGAAGAAATCGATAAGACTATTACTGTAGTCCGCGGGATGATTAGATATAACTGTATCTAAACAAAACAACATTATATCCGTAAGACTATTTCTGTAGTCCGCGACTCACTTAGATATAACTGTATCTAAACTAATCTTAACTACCTACTCAATTAATTCACGGATATAACTGTATCCACAAGCCCACAAAATAACACACATCTATATCATAAAAAAATATCAATAATTAAAATTAAAGCATGAAAAAATATGGGGTGATTGTATTGACAACCTTCCTATAAAAAATATTAGTATATAAGATATGAAAAATTGTTATTGTTATTTTCATTAAATATATGAAAGATTCAATAAATTAAACAATAAAAAAAGCAGAACTTGATCGATAGTAATATTCCATTCGGCAAATATTGATAAATGAGGGATAAAGCCATTGAAATTCCAAAAAGTGCAAGAACTTACATCGCAAAAGAAAGAAAATAGACTCGAAAGAGCTAAAGAGTTGCTTCGCTTGGTTTGGTTTTCTCCGATGAGAAAACATTCGTTGTCCAGCACTTTGTAAACAAACAAAATGATCGTGTTTACTTGCCAAAGAGGTCAGCTGAAATGTGCACCTTCGGTTGGCCACCGGAACTAATGCGCAGGCCATGGTGATGCTGTAGGCCGCCATAACAGCCGATGGTCACTCTCTGCTCGTATTAATTGACCGTGGCATCAGAATAAATGCCGAATATTGTCGAGAAAGTATTCTGGAGGATGTATTAAAGCCTTGGACACGCAAACATTTTGGCCGCAGACCTTGGACATTCCAGCAGCACCATCGCACTCAGCACGTGCCACCCAAGAATGGTTACAAAATGAGGTTCCTCGCTTCATTTTCAGCTCACAATGGCCACCAAAATCTCCGGATACCATTCCGTTGGACTAGTGTGTCTGGTGTATATGGAAAGCAAGGTTGGCACTAAAAAATACCAAAGTGTCGATCACCTCAAGCAAGCGCTTCGCCGGGAATGGGCAAAAATACCGCGGAGCAACACTCGGGCAGCATAAAAATTAAAAATGTAAAAAATTGTTATACAGTTTTTTATTTTTAACATACAAAAAGGATAGTTGTGTTCTGTCAAAGTGGAATTTGTTCAAAATTGAAATTTTGTAGACCTTGTTTTTTTTTTGGCAAAATTTAAATTAAAATACACGGTCGAGTTTTAGATAATAGTAGTTGGATTTTATTTATTTTATTATACCCTCAGCTATATGGCTACAGAGGGTTATACAATTTGATAGGTCAAAACGTGCCTAGTCGAAATAACGGATTTAGACCCAAGGTCTCTTTGGACCAACTCCTTTTCAGAACATTTGGAGTCAATCTAGCAATCGATCAGCCGTCTGGCTGGCTGGTGCACACGATAACTCTCGAAGGGAGTATTCGATTTGGTCCAAACTGGGTACATCGTAATATTTTTGTCAAACTTAGATCGAGTTCGGAGATAGGCAATATCGGTCCACTCCTTTTGGTACCTCCCCCACAAAAGGTCAAAATGTTCAAAAAATATATTTTTTGCACAAAAAGAGAAAGGATAATCCGATTTTGCTCCATCTTTGCATATCCTAATATTTGCGTCACTGCTAGGTCAGGTGTGAAAATGGACAATATCGGTCCACTCCATCAAGTAACTCCCCCACAAGTGGTCAAAGTTTTGAATAATTACAACTCTCATAAAATGTGATGTAAGATTCCGATTGCCTTCAAATTTCACACAACCTGATATTTATATGAACCCAAAGTCTGGGCAAAATCGGTGCACTCCTTCTGGTACCTCACCCACAAATGGTCGAAATTTGCAAAAAAAAAAAAAAAATATTTTCTGCACAGAAAGGTAAGCAATAATCTAACATTGCTCTAATTTAGCAAATCCTAATACTTGGTCCACTCCATCAAGTGCTTCTCCCACAAAGGGTCAAAATTTTGAATAATTATTACTCTTAAAAAATATTATGTAAGAGTCTGATTGTCTTCAAATTTCACACATCCTACAATTTTTATGAACCCAAGATCTGGTAGTAAGACGGAATATATCGGTCCACTCCTTCTGGTACCTCCCCCAAACGCTCAAAATTTTGAATAATTATGAAGTTCACAAACAGCGAAATTAACATCCGATTCCATTCTAGACATGGTACATGTCAATATTTCCATCAACACAATATCTGTTATAAAGATGGTAGAGATCGGACCATTTCTTTTGCTACCTGCCCCACATAGGGTTCAAAATTTTGGAAAACATAACGCTCAAAAAAAGGGAAATAAGCATCCAACTCTCTTCAAATTTCACACATACAAACATTTTTGCTAACACAAAATCTGTTGTGAAGATGCTATATATCTGCGAACCCCTTCTGGCACCTCACCCACAAAGGGACAATACTCAATACTATCTCATCCACAATCCTGAGATAATGAAATGAGATGTAATTTATGATTTCCCATAAATCGGGTGTAAATGTTCGATTTTCTTATATATATAATAATCGAACATTGACTGAGGGTATACATCTGTCGGCAAAACCGACCGATACATTTTTACTTGTCTTTTTTTGTAAATTTGAAAGGCATTAAGTATTGCTAAAGATCGCTTATGTTATTCTTTAGATCATGTGTCCATTTATAAAATGAATTAAAATGATGAAGCTCAAACATTCGTAATTTATTTTCATTTATTTGCTTTTTTAATTTCAGTTCTATTTCCGTCAAAAAACACAAAGTCCAACTTGAAGGATGAATCAAACGAATTAAATTTTACCTATATTTATATTGCACACCCCCGTGCTGTTACTAATATAATATGGCGAAAAACTAGCAAATATATGCCAAAAGGTTCAGTTTCAAACATGATTGTCACATCTTGTTTGGACAACATTTGTCGAATTTGGATAGAAACTGTTTTACCCGACGATGGATTGATAAATATGACACAATTTGACCCACTTGCTTCACAAAATCCAAAATTTAGAACACATCGCCACAAACATCGGTTTATGCAAAGACTCAAACATATGAAAACCTGTTTCCACATACGCCGACATGCAAAAAGTGGATCCAACGCTGAAACAGGTGGAGCAGATTTTCTGACATTCAGTTATCCAGGACCAATTCCATCGTTGCCGTCGTCGTGCAGTGTGCACGATTTTCATTCTTACGGATTTCATGGTAGTGGAATCTCCCAAGGCATGCATTTCCACTTGGCAGCTTCTATAAATGCTGAAACAGATATACCATTAGTCCCTTCTATGCAGTCAACTGAAGCTTCAAATCAAAATAATTTCGTACTACATTGGCTTAATAATAAAGAGATGGATTTCACTATTCAAGCTGAAGCAATTCTTCAAGAATTGACCAAAAAGGTTATTCACGAAGAAAATCTTAGTGCCCAAGGGGGTAATGTGTCTGATCAGACTGATAACTTGTCAAATGGAGCATCATCAAAGAAAAAGTTTATGAAGACAGCTTCGAAATCTGTTTCAGCGGATGACAACAGCGCTACTGGCGATGAAAGCAAAACCTCTAATTTTCAAAATTGTCCAAGCGGAATACCAAATGTTAATTCAATGTCAAATACAGCTTCATTGAACTCTTTAAATAATGATAGTTCCCTTTCGAACCATTTAACTGACTCCTTGGATATAAAAATCGATTGTTTACTTCGTGACTGGCACCAGAGTCCAGATTTACTGTTTGCAATCCATCCAGTAGATGGTAGTTTCCTTATCTGGGTTGTTGAGTGGCTAGATGACTTTTATCCTGGTTCATTTCGTCAAGCTCAAGTTTCTTTTTCGACCAGAATTCCTAACGCATTTCCTCTAGGTGATTCAATGTCAATGTCCACAATGGTTAGTTTGTACAACACTGGTTCTCATCCATTAGTCTTTCGTGAGATTGCTAATAATGTTAAAAGTAAAGATGAGGACGTACTCAGTGAAGAGGATGATGATGACATATCTGTTAAAGATGAATCAATTAATGAAAGTCAAGAGAATACTGATTCCAGTAAAAAAACAAGAACCAAAAATGTTAATGATTCAGAAGAACATTTTGAGGAAAAGTCTAGGGATTCATCTGTTGGAAACATAACAACGGCTATATCGCCATCAGTATCGATGGTTACAAAACATTCAAACGGCACACTTAATTTGTGGCAGCTTACATTTGCATATAAGACAAAATTTACTCAAGTTCTCAGTATTGGACATGTAAGCCGCGTGTCTGGTCATAGATTCAGAGTAAATGACATTAACTGTCATCCAGTTTTGCCACTCCTGGTTTCGACGTCACACCACAATTTGTCGGAATTTGACCACAAAACTCCTTCCAATGTGCCCAACTTTGATTCCAACGTAGCAGAAAATGTATGCACTCCTTCTGGATTTTGCTCGGAATTGATTTTATGGAGAGTAGATTCTGTAGGTCCTCTCTGTCACTCCGGAGGTGTAAGTGAACTAGCTCGTATAAACTCCCCGGAAATCTCGGCGTTTAGCAACGTCGCCTGGATTCCAACATTGTTACCTAGTACGACGTTGGGCAGTTACAGTAATTCACCATCTGCATGTTTTGTTGCTAGCGATGGGGAACATTTGCGCGTTTACCAAGCTGTTATTGATGCACGAACACTTCTAGCGGAAATATCTTCTTCTGAAAATATTACGAAATGGCAAAAATCGGCATCTATATCTTCTTTGTACTCCAACGCGTCCTCTACATTGAACGGACTGAAGTTTTCACTGCACGATAAACTTAAAGTGGTTTCTCAACAATCTACTGCACGTCCGGGTTGTATAATACAACTTGACCCTATTTCGGATGCCAAACACGACTGGCAGAATACTCAGTTTCTGCATGTGTTTCAAGCACAATTAATAACCGGCAGTGATTCATTAACTTCTAAAGAAGCATTGGATAAAAAAAGCGGTGTGCAAAGTGACTTAGATGCTATAGTAGATTTGCAGCAAAATACAGAATTTGAAGAACCCTTTTATATAGTTATTATTGAAAAAACGCTCAAAGGGAGTACTATACATATGTGGCGCATTGTAATTTCATCGAAAGAACAGAAAATGTTATTGCCCGAGACGGCCATGTATGTACCTGACAGTAATCTTACGCAAGAAGCTGAGGACATTGATGTTAATCGAAAGATGTCAGAGATTCTTTTCGATACTACAAATCAAAAAATAAAAATGGAGGAGACTATAGAACCTCCGCATATCGTAATAACAACAAAAAAGGTCTGCACCCAAGAGTTGCCTCTTCCTGATGGTGTCGATGTAATACATGCTTCACCTGCTGCTGGTCACCTTAGTTCATCATCAATATATCCAGCTTGTTACGCACCATACATTATTGTAACAGCTTGCTCAGATTCTGTATCGCGATTCTGGAAATGTGAAGCGAACATAAACCCATTAAACCCAAATAATGAATATACATGGTCGGAGTGGAAGATGTTCAGCAAAAAGCAAGATTCCGCTATTGAAATTCCAGGGCAACCATTAAATATTAGTGCTGCATATTCTGGAAGAATTGCTTGTGCTTATAAATATGGTAAAAGTTTTACGCGACCTAGCAAGGGCGGAGATCCTGATTCAAGATATATAAATCTCTGTGTTGGAATATACGAGTGTGAAAGTTCTGGTGGAAGTGAGTGGGTACTCGAAGATACCATACACCTAAAAAACATTCACTTACCACGTATTAACATTGAACACGGTATAGATTTAAGTTACTTACACGATAGTCGCATGCTACAGAAAAAACAGCGTCTTAACCAAGTGTTGCATAATTTCACTGCACATGACGAAATAAGATCACCACGTAGTGGAGATTCGACACCTGAGGCAAATTCAAAAAATCATAGTAGTTTGTTAGCTGTACCAAGTTTTAGCACTTTACAATCTCTTAGAAAGAGCATTGCCGAAAACGGAAACACTTGTCCTCTTACTCAAAAACACTTAGTCCAGCTTGATTGGGTTTCTAAAGAAGATGGTTCTCATATACTAACGGTAGCTGTTGGTAGTAAAATTCTACTGTACACTCCAGTGTCATCAGATATAGCGCAAGCAAATATAAAAGCTATGAAGGAATCTAGGACTGCAAATCGCCCTATTCTACGGAAGGCAAGTTCTTTAGCCCAACCTCATTTTAACGATGAAATACGTTGGATGAAGCTGCGACAAATTGATTTACAAACTGCGGATGGTTTACCCCCCTTGCCTATGCAAATATCGTGGGTTCGAGATGGAATTCTAGTGGTTGCAATGGACTCCGAAATGCATGTATATTCACAATGGAAACCTAGATACAACCAACAACATGGTGTTGACGATATTTTGGATACTAGAAATTTAAGAGACGAAGATTTACGCTCAATTGCTAATGAATCGTCCAAATTGCGCATTAAGAGCGCTGCCTCAATGCCCCTCATGAACAAAGTCAGCACAGCAAATTTGCAGCTGCTTTCAAAAGACAGTAAAAAGAAAATTGGAGCCACCACTTCATCAAACATACAAAATTCTTCTGATGCAGGTACTATCAACGAAGACTATATGACAGATTTAGGACTATTCCAGGCATCTCGTATTGCATGTCCGGTCCTTCCACAGTATCATCCTAAACAGTTAATGGAATTATTAAATTGTGGAAAAATTCGTTGGGTCAAGGCGATTTTGGCCCATTTGGTACGATGTCTCAGTGCACCCAGCTTTAAAGGAAATAACGAAAGTGATGATGCTTCCATAAACCAGGTGAGGAAAAATATTATGGGGAGTTACTTATTATGTACTAATTTTACTTTGAAATTGAAAATAAATAAATAATCATTTATGTCTTAAGAAAGGAATTAAATTGCAAAACGTTTTCTTTACAGAAGTCATGGTCTAGATCGAGAACCCTTTCAATAAGCTATGCTCCGGATACAACTATACAACCAGATCACAGAGGATCTACAACTCAGGTTTGTTACATATATATTACACATATTATATAATCCGATACGTAAAAATATATATACCTAGATTACATAGAAATAATTAGATCATATTACAGTGGAATATGGGTTTACTTTTGAAATAATTTTGTTGTTACAGAATCACAATAAGATTATATGGAGATTATTTTTTTATCAACTTAAATTTATGATTAAAATATGTGGATTGTACTCTAATGAATACAACATTAAATCCATCGGTTATGTCCTTGTTGTTGTTGTAGCTGTGTACTGTGTGTACTGCTGTGTTCGTTATTCTCTAATTCGGCTCTGCTTCTAACTCCAAGTTCGAAATGAAAGCTCGTACTGCTGTGTTCGTTATTCTCTAATCCGGCTCTGCTTCTAACTCCAGGTTAAAAATGAAAGCGACCTGTATTGGTTGGGTTCATAGCGATATGGGACAATAAAAATATTTCCTTACTTGCCTGGTCACCAGATGGTGATTGGGATGGTCGTGTTTATCATCCATGCAAGTATTGCAACGACGTTTTTTTTTTTTGGCATCAGAAAAATCAGTTTCAGTTTTTACTTTAAAGTGATGCTCTATCAGAAATTACTTTAGAATGTGTAAAGCTTAGTTGACAGATTCTTGAGTAGTTTGAAGAAGAGACCTGCTAGCTACTCCTACGTCCAAGAACACGGTGGAGCACATTTATTTTCTTGTAAAATGTTTTGTCTGTGACTACAGCCTAAGACAGAAAATTGTCTGTGCACGTCCACGCCTTCGTATAGCCCCCATATAACGGTACCTCCCGATATTCATTCGGTATTTTGATGATTTTAGCAACATTATTCACCGGAATTGTTTCAAATTCGGTATTTGAGATTCGTAATGGATACTACAGCCTATGACAGAAAATTGTCTGTGCAGGTCCACGTCTTGGTATAGCCCCCATATAACGGTACCTCCCAAAATTTGGTATTTTGATGATTTTAGCGTCATTATTCACCGGAATTGTTTCAAATTACGTATTTAGAGTTCGTAATGGGAACAACAGTCTATGACAGAAAATTGTCTATGCAGGTCCAGGTCTTCGTATAGGCCCCACATATCAGTACCTCTCTATATTCGGTATTTTGACGAGTTTGGGTACAATAACCACCGAAATTGTTTGAGATGTTGTATTTGAAGTTCGTGGCAGAAAATTGTCTAAGCAGTTCCAGGTCTTCGCACAGCTACGATATAACGGTACCTCCCAAAATTTGGTATTTTGATGATTTTAGCTACATTATTCACCGTTTATTTCAAGTTGCGAATTTGAATATGATAATGGCTTATGACAAACAATGCTTATGTAGGTCCACGTCGTATAGACCCCAATATAACGGCTATATTCGGTATTTTTAAAATTCTAACAGAGTTTTTCAAGGATTTTATTTTTTTTTTTTTTTAATTTCCAAATTCATTCCAACTGTTGGAAGGTATTCAAAGCTCGGCCTGGCCGAACTTACAGCTTTTTAACTTGTTTATATACAGATTTGTGCCAAGTTTTAAATCGGCCGTATTTGGGTTGTTCTGCAACCGGGAACCCATTTATCTTCTAGAATATCAAAAAGAGACCGGAGTACTTCCTTCGACACACAAAAATTGGCCGCAAAGCTGGGAAAATATATTTTTTATTATTTCAAAAATGTAAAAACTCAATCAAACTTACTGGTTGTTAGGTATTTCAAACAAATTCGAATCATCTCTGTCTTCGTGGTAGATTTTGAAACTCCTATGCATCATCCATAAAGCATAGGCGCACAGAAATATTCATTTTTTTAAGAACACAAATAATTCGAACACTATCACTGGGAATATGATTTTGTTTGTTTGTTTACAACCGAACTGTCATTTCAGGCAGAGCCAGCTTACATATGATTGTATTATTTATTGTACGACTAGCTTTATTGTATGACCAGCTGTAAAAAAATTTTAGCTGTAGTGTACCGGTACGCAACCACTAAAAAATATTTTAGTGATACTGCACCGGAACACAACGATGATCGTAGTGCATCGGAGTCGGAGCACTAAAAAACGTAGAGTACCTCATGCACCACCATAAAAAATGTACTGGCATCAATGAGCTTTTTATGAAATGGAAAAAATATTAGATGTTTGATTTTTTGGAATAATAGCATTGTAATGAATAAAATGATTGTATTGAAAGAATTTAAAGAATTAAATTATACAAAATTCGATATGAGAATCACTGTTTGTATAAGTGGAAATTAAAGAAGAAATAAAAAACGTACTAAACGTAACGGACAGGACATTGGCATATATATTTACATATATTGTAAAAAATACCTGTACTCCGATGCGAAATTATGATAAACTATATTCTAGTTATCAGCACCTATCTTTATGTAGTACCTGTGGTTTAGTTTTATCTACACCGAAATCATAAAACTGACATTAAACACTCATTCATACTTTGTAAAAAATTCGTTTTTTGCACCTACATTCATTGCTTTTCGGTACCACAAAATATCAGGTAAATTATCTGCATATAACCCATTACCTTACCCATCCTTTTTAATCTTTCTACCTATTCTCATATCTTTTCACTATCTTCAATTTCGCAACCAATCTAATCATGCATGACAAATAAAATAAATCTTTCATTTTCATAATATTGAATTGTATTAGTAATTTGTGCATTATCAAAAACATCAAACATCTAATTTTTCTCACAAATTGGAAAAAACACATATGTGGTACACTACGATTAGTAGTGCCCCGACTGCGGTACAGTACGATTCTCGTTGTTCTCCAGTGCAGAACTATAGCCCCAAAGCCTTAATATACATTCAAAAAAGTGTCATATTCTTCACATAAATGTCCAATATAAGCGTTGAGTTGTTACGGGTAGCTGTACTAAATATGCACAATGGTTTTTACAAAAGCAGGGGGTGAGGCAGGGAAAACCACTTCTTACACCCTTATTGTGTATTATCTACTGTAAAGTACGTCGCAAAATAGCTGTGAGTTTCAACCATCTTGGGAAATCGTCTCTACTGGATGCATTTCGTTTCAAAGCTTCTTCCATTTATGCATTTGTATTGTAAAATAGTAGGAATTTATGACATAAAGCGTATCCTTGTCTAACGCAAACATACCAAGCTTCGCAATAAACATATTATAATATTTATTTAAAACTAGAGTAGCATTACTACCATCGTCATGTATTGTAACTATTGCACTTTTGTTTCGTTTTGTATTGCGATGTATGTGTATTGCGAAACATCAATAAAAAGAAAGAAAATATTTATAATAATTCGACCTTGAGCTAATGTTAGAATTGCTCATGCACCAAGCTGCACCTGTAATAAATCACAAAATGCGCGATTGAAGATGTTTACGGTCTTGCAATATTCGCATTTCAGAGCAAAAGTGAAATGTATAAAGTTGTTTGCTTATACCGAAGTTTTCATTTTTATAAAAACAAAAAATATGGAATTAATCCTGCAACAACAAAATAACTACGGTATCCATAACAAACATGCCAACACGGTTCTGTTAATGTGAGAGTTAATTTTATTATGGTCATATCGGCATTAAATTTCATACATGGTACAACTATATCGCATTTTTCCATCCTGAAAGTACGTCTTTTTATTAGCAACAAATTTACGATTCAATAAATGCTATTAAAGGGCAAAAATACACACTTGCTCTAATGTTTCAATTCTGGTTTGTGGGAGCCCACAGATGACGAATATGCCTTTAGTTTTTCTGTGTCACTTCGAAAATTAATTTTACAACGGTAAATATAGAGAAAAAAAACTTATATTTTTAACAACGGGTTTTTATTACTTTAATCGCAAAGTTAGAGTGGTTTTAGTGTGAAGAAAAAACGTATCAAAGCTGATACCTAACAGTAGTAATATATATTTTTCAATAGGAAATTTTATAAGCTTTCAAAAACTGGAAATTTTAAAATCGGTTGAGAAACAGATGATTTATATTTTTTTATGTTTTAAATTTTTAGTTCCTTATTAAAAATACTTTGTATTTCTTTGCCTTTTATAAACTTCAAATTGAAAAATGCAGATAGTGCAATTTTATAGACATTTTACTACCAATTGCATGGTAGGCAGACAGCATATGGTTCACTACATGTTCATAATATTCACTTTTTTTATTTCTGAGAAAATGTTTGCATACTAAAACAAAATCAATCCATGCATTTTTTTCTTCCGGTTTCATTTGGGGTATGAAATTGTCATTTTTTACCAATTCCCCTATTTGGGGTTGTTGGTCCCTATACATGCTGATTTAAAATTAAATTCGTGTTTACTGTACATGCGTTCATAATATATATCTTACCTTCTTTTAATTTTCCTGCTCAAGACATTTGAACTTTGGTCGATTTTTATCTAGAGCTTTCACGAATTGCTTTATTAATCCCAACTTTATGTGCAATATAGGTAAAATGATGTCTTTTGGATCGATTAATGGGATATTTATGATCTTGTTCCCACCAACAATCACCATTGAACGCGGTTTCTAGCCTTTTTTTTAACAATAAAAACGATTCATTTTTATTTTAGTTTTTTAATTATTTTTCTTCTATAAGAATTTTATGATTTATTTTTTAAACATTTGAATACGATAAAAACATCAGCTGATGACAGTTATTCGGAATAACACAATGCAATACGAATTCAGAACTCACTTTATCCCATGTCGAACGTGGGAAAAGTTGTGTTGCAAAGTTCTCGACAGAGGCGTCCAGTTTAATGGTATTTGTATCTTCTGTGGTGTCTCATCTTGCCGTAGTTGATGGCATAGAAGAATGTCATAGCGGCAGCAGTGAGTTGCAGGAATGGAGCAATTCCAGCACGTTTGGGTTGAACGTACTTGTGATTCCAACGCCACCAGACACGACTGAAGGCACCAGCAATGGCACTGGGGGTCTTGTTGCGACGACCGAACCAGGCTCCCAATTCACCCAATTTTACTTGACCGAAGGGAACATCAGCTTTGCCATAATAGCGAGCTGGGTCATAAG